CAGGCCAAGGGCAGTTGGGCACATGCAACCATCAGGCCCTGGGCCTGCGTGTGAAGTCTGGGCCTGTGCCTACCGGGGCCTACTGGAAGCTTCCTCGACTGGACGCAGGAAGGCCACTTTGATATAGGGAAGGGCCTGCCTCCTCATTCGGTATTTGGGTGCTGGCTGCATGCTGCGCGAGCGCTGCTGCGCTATTTGCTGGCTGGCTGGCACTCACGCTCTCACGGGCGAGCAGGAAGGAACGGCCAGCCATAGCCGAGCTGCTCCGSTGTGAGCTGGGTGTGGCGCAGGGTGGTCCTTGGGTGCTAGTGGCATCTGTGTGGTGTGGATCGAGGTTGTGAGTGTTGCGAGAGACATACCTGGGGCTGGAAGCGTGCGGCATTGTCCGCTATATGCTCGTACTTCAGGAAGCTGTTGTTGTCAACATCAGCATTGTAGTATTAGGCTAGATAGGATCTGCCACATGTAGTCTGGGCGCCGAGTGCCAATAGGATATCAACTCTTGTTCTTCGTTGATGATGATGAGAGACTATTTCAGCATTGTGAATTACGAACTATTGGGGTGTTCTTATTTGGTGAATCTCGTGATGCATTTCTGCTGTTGGTTCGAGGTCAAGACTATCTGGACTCATATGTATGATGCTGTTTGATTGCTGGAGTTCGCTAATGCTCATCTTCCTATATATTTTTTTTTTTTTGAACAGGGACCTTCCTGGTCCTTGCCCGGCCGGGCGGCCCGGTCAAACAAGGTGACACGGGTGGCCCGGTTTATAACACAGGTAAAAACTCTTTGGCCCCCTTTTTTTTCCATCTGGTTTCGAGTTTCTGTACTACTGTACTACGACAGACTACAGTAGCAAGAATCTTTTTTTTTTTTTTTTTTTCGTGCGACTTTGTGTGCGAGGAACGAGCCCTCACGGGGCCCCTATCAGGCATACACGTCCCGGGAAGAGGCCCCCAGCAAGCCGAGTGCCCACCCTAAGTGAAGGCGGGCCTGAATATTCATCAGAGGCCAAAATTCGACATTTTCATATATGGGTATTCAGGCTGTTGCAGCCCGCCAGTTGGTTGAATGGACGCGCGGGCCTCACTAAGCTGCGTCGTACAGTTGGCCCAGGCCTTGGCAGTTGTGCCTGGGCACATACACACAAAGCAGGGACGATATATCATGAAGTGGCCACCGGCCTATGCAAAAGCAGTACTGTCGACGTACCTACCCCGGGGTCCTGTGCAAATGCAGCCAACGGCCCAAGTCCGGAGACTCAGGGCGTGCCCAACTGTAAAGGGCCCACGCCCTCAACTGTAGTCGCTGGCCTGGGCGCAGGAACTGGGGCCCAACAGGAAGCTACTGGAAGCTTCCAGCCAGGCCACACGCAGCATCCAGGAGGCTGCCACTTCCATATAGGAAGAGAGGCAGCCCAGGCCAGGCATTCTGGCCCGCGCAGGCAATGCGGTCATGCTGCTGTGCTGCTGCATTGGATGCTGCGCTGCTGCCAGTGCGCTTGTGGGGCGCGTTGCTGCAGGGCAGCGGAGCGCGGGCAGCCATAGCCGGGCTGCTGGGCGCTAGGGGATAAGAGGGCGATTGGTGGTCTTCGGGAAGGAGGCGAGTGTGTGGGTGGTCAAGGTCTGATGAGGATGACGAGATATGTACCTGGTGCATGAAGCGAGGTCGGCTATGGCGTTGAGATCATGTACGTGGGTCTTCGAGAGTCAAAGTGAGCCTGTTGCGTGAATACCGCTGTAGGTAGGATAGTAGAGTAGAGTAGGCTGGGCGCTGGGCGCCAGACAGAGAAGAGCGACATTGGATACTGTGTTGGTGTGGCCTGAGGCTTGAACATTGGCTCATTACTTCATTGTAATGCTCTATTTGGATGGATTCTCGGTGCATTTGTGCTCGCTGCTTGTACACGACTACTTGGACATCTGTGTGATTTTGCAACTTGGTGTTCTGTATATCGTTCACACTCATATTCCTTGCATGTGTTTGCCGCATCAGATGCATATGCTGTGACTGAAGTTGAGCATCAAACTCGAGCCCATCTCCCTAATCTCATCAGCCTGAACTGGACCTCTTTTTGGTTCATCAGGAGCTCATAAAAAATGCTGGATGAGGAATTCATTCAAAGTTCACAGCAAGGTGAATCGGAACTACATCAAAAGGTCTGCAATATTTATTGTGTTTAATTATGTAATATACTTGTGGAAGTTGTGTGGTGTATTATAATCTGTATTTATTTAAGTGTTGATAATATTGATAAATATTGATAAATATATTTCTGAGAACGTTTTTTTTTTTTTTAAATATATTTTTATGTTCGCGTTCGGAGGGTTTTGGCGCTCGTTCGCGTTCGGTCACGAACGTCTGGGTTCGGTCACAGAACCCGAACACGATGCTACACAGTGTATGTCTAGTTAAGGTGGATTGTCACTTACAGTGTAATCAGTTAGGGGATTCTGCAGACTGTTGAGGGTTCAGCCTTCTGATGAGTCGGTGAAACTACGACGAAACAGTTTGTCACAGCCCCCTTGTTTGTTGTCCTCTTCTCCCTCTCTGCCGATGGTTTACCGGGCAGTTCTGTTTGGCAATATATATCACGACTTCGATAGCACCGTACTACAGTTTTCTCCGGTCAGGTTGAGCGTCTATTGTTGGGGCCGTCACTACGCGGCCATGCTGTGCCTCTAGTGCCAGCGGCGTGTCTGGAGTGTATTTTTTGGCTGTGACAGACCTTTATTTGTTTCGTGGGTGTTTTGCTTGGTTGTTGCTTGTGATGGGGTGTGAACCATCAGCCTGTAGTCTGCTTTCTTTTTCATCTCGAGTACCTTTTGTGTGTGTGTGTGTGTGTGTGTGTGTGTGTGTGTGTGTGTGTGTGTGTGTGTGTGTG